AGTGGAGCTGCAAGGCCGGCGGTGGCGGCCGGGACCGTTGGGGGTGGGGTGTGTGGCCTTATGACACACTTCCGGTGATGTCAGGGGGTGTGGCCGTATGACACACTTCCGGTGAGGTCAGGGTGTGTGGCATATGCTAATGAGTTATGCTAATGAGTTCCCCTAGCTCTTTTTCTACTAAACGACCCCTGAACGACACAGAGTCCACCTTCCCAAGCAGACGTTTCCTCCAGGGGAACTGATCTCTGTCATTGGGAGATCAATCATAACAGCAGGGGATCTCCAGCTGCTACCTGGAGGTTGGCAACCCTATTCTGGAAAAGGTTCTAGGTACACATTCAGACGGAGGCTGGTGAGAGAAACTCCAGCTGCGAACCAAGAGGGTCAAGCTAACACTATATAATACAAGAAGGGGGACCCGCGATACTCGTGGGGGGGGGGGGAACCGAACTTTCTCCCTCCTTCCCCCTCCCTGACAGCAGTGGTGGTGGTGAGGTCTGGCCGGCCCACCAAGCTTACTCCCTCCCCCTCCCCCCCAGCAGTGGCGGTGGTCAGGTCTGAGCTCGGCCCACCAAACTTTCTCCCTCCCCCCTGGGCAGCAGCGAGGGCTGAGCGGCATACAGCCGCCGGCCGACCAAGCCTTCTCCCGCCCCCTCTCCCTCCCTGGCGGCAGCAGCGAAGCCATTCTCTTTTACTTTTGGGGGGATTTAAATATCCCTCACACATTTTTTCCAAGTTTTCAGATTTTTGTGCTCATATGGAAATTGCCCCAAATGTGCAGGAAAACCTCCCTGCCCCCCCAAGTGCCCCCAATGCGCTGATTTAGATATCCGCACGGAGGGGGCCTTTTGGGAATTAGATATATAGATAAAAATGCAAATGTTTATTAAGGCGTACACATGTTAAAACATACTGTGATTAAAAGAAAAGAGTCTAAATTTCAGACTTTTAAAAGCTTTTCTAATACAAATACACTTGACGGGTAAACACTTTTTAACTTAGGACCAAACGCATTTCGGCCCCTTCGGGCCTTCCTCAGTGGTCACTATTCTCTATATTGCACTGACACACATCCAAAATACACGTATAAAAAGTTTATATTTATATATATATATAACCAGTTGTTGTTTCCTTATATGTTTTTAGTTATTCTAGTACCTTTGATGGAGGTGACACACATCCAGACCAATGAAATCTCTGATACCAGAATAATTTGAAGAATTGGCATGGCTATATTGATGGCCCAACATATAAGCTAATAGAATAAAAGGCAGTAGGCTGGGACAGCCTTCTTCACACAAGGCAAATTGTATGGAACTCACTGCCACAAAATCTATGACCGCCAGCTGAGATGGCGTCAAAAGGCAATTAGATAAATCTATACAGGAGAGACATATTGGCCATGACTGCTAGCAGAACCTCCATGCTCAGAGGCACTTAACTAAACAACATTTGTCTGGGTGAACGCCTCTTGCTTCCACATCCTGGCTTGTGAACTTCCTGGAAGCAACTGATTGGGTCTTGTGGGGAAACAGAACTGGTTCTTTGCTGGCTTTTTGCCTCAACTTGATTATTGCAGTAGCCGCCATACCTACCGGGCAAGTAAGTACTGGCAAACCTCGAACATTGCGCCAGTCAGAGGTCATTTCGGGGGGGATTGCGGGGGAACGCAGTTCCCCCGGGTGAGGTATGGGGGGCGGGGCACATGACGAAGCCCCGCCCCCTGCTTCCGGCCGCCCTGCTTCCGGCCCTCATTCAGCCAGGAGGAGGCAGGAGAAGAGGGAGGGTAAGTTGCTTCCTCCCTGCCTCTCCCCACCCCTGCCTGCCTGGGGCCAGGGAGGGCCTTTGCGGGGCTTCCTTGCACTCCCACCGGCCTTGCAGGTCCACCACTGGGCCCCTCATGGGGCTCGGCAGTGGAGCTGCAAGGCCGGCGGTGGCGGCCGGGACCGTTGGGGGCGGGGTGTGTGGCCTTATGACACATTTCCGGCAATGTCAGGGGGTGTGGCCTTATGACACACTTCTGGTGATGTCAGGGGGTGTGGCATATGCTAATGAGTTCCCCTAGCTCTTTTTCTACGAAATGACCCCTGGCGCCAGTACTCAGTTGATTCAAGTTCTGGTCGTGGGAGGGGGAGTGGATGAAACATTTTAATCTTGTCCCTTTTCAAAAGGCATAACACAAACTGGTTTGCCCTTGAGTTGAAACTCCCACACTTTGAAAAACTGTGCCTTGCACACGAAAGCTCATACCTTGAATAAACCTTGGTTGGTCTTAAAGGTGTCACTGGACTCTAAATGTGTTCTGGTCAATTTTGGTTTCACTCAGACTTCACTGGTCAACCTTACCAGTCAGTCAAATCTTCCCAATACGGTTATGTGAGCGCTACTCACCTTTCCCCAGTAACCGGGTCAACCGCACGGTAAGTCAGACGCTCCAAAATCGACTCCATCGTGAGATTCAGGACAAACACCCTGTTCAGAAGAAAGAGAAGCATTGAGACCACACTTCATCAGAGCCCAGAGTTTGGTTTTGAGAGCTAGTTTCTGTCTAAAAAATAAAACAAATTTTGGGCAAACAGCCAGAGGCCTCAAAGGAAAACAGCTCTATGAAGATTCAGTGTGGTGTGGTGGTTAGAGTGTCGCACAGGTTCGAATCCTCACTCATGCCATGGAAGCTGGCTGGGTGACCTTTGTTCCCTCTAAGCTGAGTTAGTGTGAGTTGGCTCACAGTTTTTTAGCCTCCGGCTCACACATTTTTGTTTTAGGTCTGGGAGGATGGCTCCAGGGCAAACTAATTTATGCAGCAGTCAAATCACTCGCTCACAACTTTAACGCCAGTAGCTCACCAAGTAGGATTTTTGCTCACAAGGCTCCGCAGCTTAGAGGGAGCATTGCATCCGTGGGCCAGTCACACTCTCAGCCTAACCTACCTGACAAGGTTGTTGTGAGGATTAAATGAAGGAGAGGAGAACAATGTAAACCGCTCTGGCTCCCCACTGGGGAGAACTGCGGGGTATAAAGTAAGTAAGTAAGTAAGTGTCAGAACCCACAGCCAACAACGCAGTACACGCATTCAGGAATGGTTATACTTTTATTGCAGAGCTATAGATGCAGTAACATAGGCACTGTTAAGAATGGCGGCAGCCCCATGGGCATAATAGGATATAGGGTATTCGTATGCACACACACCCCAGTACTGGCCAATTAGGCGGCCTCCCGCGTGCAGGCTAAGGCTTAGAGACTGTTAGGTAGCTGAAGCTGAGAACTAACACTCTCCCACGGCACCTAATGAAATCCCAGACACTACAACACCCTCCTGCACATCAGTATAGATAAGCGTTTCGGCGCACAGCAGAAAAAGTACAGAAAGGAATGCAATAGCAATTACCCAGACACAAACCAACCTCCCCAACTTTCATGGCAGCATAGGTAAAGGTAAAGGTTCCCTTGCCTGAAAGCCAGTCGAGTCCGACTCTAGGGTTGCGGTGCTCATCTCCGTTTCAAAGCCGAAGAGCCAGCGCTGTCCGAAGACGTTTCCGTGGTCATGTGGCCGGCATGACTAAACACCAAGGCACACGGAACGCTGATACCTTCCCACCAAAGTGGTACCTATTTATCTACTTGCAATTTCTTGCTTTCGAACTGCTAGGTTGGCAGCATAGCTGACAGGAAGTTAAGATGGAGGTTTGAGCAGAGGCTAGAGGAGGTTGTGCAGCTGCTTGTGTTGCTGGCGGCAGCCCTCACCTTTCTGCTGCATGGAGGCCTCCTGTGGCTGGGGAGCAGAGTCCCGAGTCGTGGGGGGCAGAGGTGCCAGGCTTCTGGAGTGGGAGACACCCCCCCTGGACTGGGGGATACCTTTCAAGGACTTCCACACAGTGTAAACATATCAAGGAGGGGTGATGCTAAGCCACTCTTCGGATGTGGTGTTCACAACGACAGCAATTTTTTAGGTGGGGGACCATTGAAAAATATAACCTGCAGCTTCAGTCACATCATCTCCAGTGAAAGGCTGAGAAAAGACCATCTCAAGGCATTTCAGACATCACTAGGAGAAGGGAATCACCACTGTATTTCTGCTTCCTGCCTTTTTTTCTGGGCCAACATGGTGTAAAATAAATTTACTTATTTAAGAGTGGCAGACTCTAATCTGGAGAACCGGGTTTGATTCCCCACTCCTCCACGTGAAGCCTGCTGGGTGACCTTGGGGGAGGAGGAGGAGGAAGAATAATAATGAGTATTATTTATACCCCGCCATTGTATAGAAATATTGATTTCTATAGGCTTCATGTCTCCCTGGAATGTGTCCCTGCTGTGTTGATTTCCTATTGAAACCAGATGGCTGACCATTTGGTCAGGGAAGCTCTATTGCCATGCCATAAACCACATACCTTCACACCTCATGCTGGAAGATGGCCTAGCAAACAAGCAAATACACACGTAGGCCATGGTGGGTTAGAGAGTGGGAGGGCACATGACCCGGGTGTGTCCTTCAGAGGCTCTGACCAGTCAGATGTTGCTCCCATGACAACCCCAAAAGTGGGAAACACCCTTTCTACTTGTGATTGGCTGAATGGCCACAGCTGATTATGATTAGATTGGGGTTTTTAATTGTCTGACCCTTGGAGGATTTTCAGATTTTCTTTTGCTCTCTCCCTACTGTTGAATTGCACCTGGGAAATGCTGTCCCAGGCAGAACAAAGGACTCCTTTGTGAGCTGACCATGTGCTTGCAAGGATGGAACTCTTGTTTCCCAAGATACCTGGACTCTTACTATGGACTATTCTGGAATGATAACTGTTCCTGACTTGGTAAATATGTTTCTTATTGTGTAGTTAAGGGAAAACTTGCCTAGGCTGTTCTTTTGAATTCTTCTAGTCTGATTGCAAATTCTATACTGAATAAACCTTATTCTTGTGTATAAAAAGTGTCTGTTTTGATGGGTAACTGTACTCCAAACTAAATCCTGTAGCCTGAACCTCTACATTTGACAGGCAAAAGACTAGCCATTTGGTCAGTAGAAGATGCCCAAGGTAGGGGCAGAGACTTGCCCATTCTAGTCCTTTTTGGACTCAGCTGACAGGATAGAGGTGTGGGGGGGAATAGCTTGCATGGAGGATGCTTGGCAGTGCAGTCAGCCTGGAGAGTCTTCACTTGGCCTGAGTTTTCCCAGCCAAGATGCGGTTCTCTTAGCCTCCCAGCAAAAGTCTAATCTGGAGAACCGGGTTTGATTCCCCACTCCTCCATGTGAAGCCTGCTGAGTGATCTTGGGGGAGGGGGAGGACGAGGAGGAAGAATAATAATAAGTATTATTTATACCCCGCCCTTCACTTGGAATCTCAGAGAGGCTTACAATCTCCTTCCCTTCCTCTCCCACAACAGACACCCTGTGAGGTAGGTGGGGTTGAGAGAGATCTGAGAGAACTGTGACTAACCCAAGGTCACCCAGCTGGCTGCATGTGAAGGAGCGGGAAATCAAACCCGGTTCTCCAGATTAGAGTGCACCGCTCTTAACCACTACACCAAAATCTCTCAGCCCCACCTGCCTCACCAGGCCCGTAGCTACCGCGGGGCCCGGCCCCCTAGTGGTTTTTACGGGCCACCCTCCCTGAGCCTTGGCTCCCCCTCCCCCCTGATTGCCTGTCGGCGGGGAGGACCAGGGCGGCACAAGCAGCAGAGGCGGCGAGGCTGGGCTGAGAGATGCTTGCTGCCCGGCCCACCAGTAGCAGGTAAGCCCAGCCAAGCAAGGCAAAGAGGCAAGCGGGCACCCCAACGTGGCTACATGCCGCAGCTTCGTAGCCAGCCCAGCCACTGCACGCCCCCCCTCCTGCCCCTGGGGGGAAGCTGAGGGTAGAGGTCAGGCTGCTCCTGGTGCAGTGACGCAGGAAGGGGCGCTGGGGCTCCTTGGGGCAGGAGGGAGTGAGCCAGACACTCTACAGGGAAGGGCTGCCCTTGCTGGGGGGGAAGGAAGCTCCCCCCTGATTTAATTAGCGAGCGGACCCCCCCCCAGGCCCCCTCACAAAACAATCCCCAGCTACGGGGCTGTGCCTCACAAGGTGCCCGTTGTGGAAACAGGAAGGGAAGGCGATTGTAAGCCACTTTGAGACTCCTTTGGGTAGAGAAAAGCAGGGTATAAAATCTTTCTCTTCTCGTTTTATTGAATACATTCCAAATTAATGTAAATAAATTTGCTGAAGTGGGAAAATGGATTCTAAAACAAAAGCTATATGTATATATAACTTTTGTTTTAGAATCCATTTTCCAGCTTAAGCAAATATAAGTATATATGAATGAATAAATCTTTTAAAAAAATAATATTTGGCTTGTGTGCCTCTCAGAACCGGTTAGTGTTCACTTTAGACATTCACCAAAGGGAACATTTTACACTTCCTGAAGGGGATCAGATCAGATAAAAGCCAGAGGTTTTGCCGCGGAGCTCGCATGTATAACAGATTAAGGGGTTCCTTTGTAGAACTTAAAGTTATGAAAATGATCTCACTCGTTTCTCAAATGTTTACAGATAATGACTTCCATTCGCATTGCGGTTAAGAGACAAAAAAAAAAATATGGAAGGGAAACAGCCCGGCATAAAAACAGTGAAGATCTCAATGATTCCAAAGACAGGAGGGGAATAGAACGGTTTTCAGCAGTCTTTCATCCCTTACGCTCCAAACATTTTGTTTCTGCTTTGTTTCTGTTGCCCAACAACCGCAGAGAAACGTGATTGTCAGAACGGGTAACTTGTGATGAAATGTCTCGAGATGAATATTCTAGCAGAGGAAGAGAGGGGAAAAGAAACCGACACTCGCTTCTGCAGCCCTGATAATTGATACGGCTCTCCCCATTATATTCCAAAATAAACAAAAAAAAAAGTGAAAGGATTATAACCCGGCATATCAAGAAGCCTTGTCGTAGCTCACAGTTGCTAACTCAAGGGAAGGGGGGGGGGAAACCCACAAATGCACAAAGCTGGGATGGAAGAGCTGAAAAAAACCCTCTACGCTTAAAAAGCTGCCAGCGAGATGAACCTTGGAAGAGCCTTGTCGAAAATGCTCTCCCTTTCCGTAGGAGCTGCGCCTGATTATGCAGGCTGGTGTCAGCAGTGAAGGCAAACTGAGGGAGAAGGGACTGTTTGTGTCTGGCGGGGGTGCTGCGGGAAGGAAGGAGGGCATTCCGCACCACGGGGCATTCCACTCCCGAGAGTACACAGGCACAAAGGGAACGGCTTCAACCCGCTGCAACTTGCATCCCCCAGAAGTGGAAGGGCCGTGGACACTGGCCTCTAGGGCTGATCACTTCAGTCTTCTGAGGGCTTTTCCACACGAGTGGGTCAGTTCTGGTCCCCTACTGATTTCTGCTTGCAGTTTTGTGCCTTCAGTTTTTGCTTTGTTCCTGTTTGCCCAGTCCCCCACCCCCCGTTCTTTTTGAGACCGCTTTTACCCCGATCTTTTTCTGGAAGCTGATTTCAAGCCGCC